CGACCTTACTCTTTTCGCATTTGGTAATCTCACCCACCCGCCACCCGCCACGATGTTGAAGATTTGGTCTATGGTAAGTTAATTCTAGGTTGCAACATACTTCATAGCACAATCTAACTGCATCTATACAGAAATCTGCGCAACAAAAGGCGGACAACGCAGATGGCGCTGGTGGAAAGAAGAAGAAGGTCACATCTGCCCAACTGCGGGTGCAGAAAGGTTAGCTTGCAATGTTGAATCCTTTTGATCAGCGAATTCTCTAACTTGTCTCGAATATAGATCTTTCCGAACTGTCCCTAGGCTCGACGATGAAGACCATATTCCCCGACCCGGACGATATCCTCAACTTCGTTCTCGAAATAACCCCCGACGAGGGCATTTACCACAGCGGTCGGTTCACCTTCACCTTCACCATGGGTCCCAACTACCCGCACGAGCCGCCAAAGGTACGTTGCCAGCAGAAGATCTACCACCCCAACATCGATCTGGAGGGCAAGGTGTGCCTGAACATCCTGCGCGAGGACTGGAAGCCGGTGCTCAACTTGAACGCCGTCATTGTTGGCCTGCAATTCCTATTTCTCGAGCCGAACGCTTCGGATCCTCTGAACCAGGAGGCAGCGGATGACCTGCGATCGAGCCGAGACACTTTCCGGCGAAACGTGCGCTCAGCTATGGGTGGTGGCTCTATACGAGGTGTTACATACGACCGCGTGCTTTACAGCAGAGCCTAAACGATGTGCGAAGGACCATCTGCTCACACGCAGACTGAACGTATTTCAGTCCAGACGGGCTTGTCGACACTCGACACTACCTACTCGGCATAATTCGAACCCGAGCCACGGCGAATTAGTTCCAATGGTAGGCTTCTACCGTTAATATTGGGAGAAAGATGATGACGATGACCACGATGGAAAGAGAGTTAAAGCTTTATATTGGCTTTGCAGACGGCACATAGCAAGGCGTTTTCGAGGGACTGCATTGACTTCAAGGCATGGAGGAGAATACTGTCCTACTTTCCCTGCCTTGTGACTCTGGTAACAATGCACTTTGACGGTCAGACACGACGCATTGCATAGACGGCAAATCACCGTATACAATAGATAGGCACTGGCACATGAATGCAATAAGATTCTATAACGTTTCTATGGTTCTTGCAAATTTCTAATGTTCTCTTGGACTGCTAACTCCCCAGCTCCCATGGTTTACCGGTATATACCAGATAGGATTCAGATATGCTAAGGCGCCATGGAGGCGTTACTGCCCTATAAGTGTCACCGCTTATTGGAAACGTGCCTGTTGTTTGCCATACATCGATGTACTCAATCGCAAGGGACGTAGTGGGATAAGTATCTGTACTACGAAGCAATCGAAGCTATACCCCTCATCCCGGTGGTTTCGACGGCGTCACTTGTACCTCTACCACATGCACCCCAGGCCCACCTTACGATGGCCGGACCGGCGATTTTACCCCACCATTGGATGTGGGCTGGTGGTTGATTCGACTCACCGCCGAAGTCGCACAGCAAGCTCTTTGCGAAGTTTGGCAGAGCTCCGAGACCCTGGAAAAAATAAAAAAATGTGTTAAAAATTCTCTGACTCGCGGGAGCCAGACGCCATTCGTAGAACTTAAGTTTATACCCATTGAGTTTCCCACCTCTCTTCAACCTCCCATCTCCACTCAATCTATCCTTCACGATGGCTTCCAGAGGGTTTTCCAAGGCCGTTCGTAGCCAATTGGCCCGCCGGGTGGCCTCGCCCGCCGTCCAGAGACGTTCGTTCGTCGTTGCGTCGAACCTCGTCAGAACCACCGCCAAGGCCCGCCCTGCCCTGGCTGGTGCTGTTCACCAACAGGTCCGTGGTGTCAAGACCATTGACTTTGCTGGAACGCCCGAGGAGGTCTATGGTATGCTCAATTCGTTGTTTTATAGGTGATATTAGCTAACGGTTATCTTCCTATATAGAGCGTGCCGACTGGCCCAAGGAGAAGCTCTTGGTGAGACTTTGATGCTCATGTCCTAAATATTACTATGAACACAGCAACTAACATCTGGCAAAGGACTACTTCAAGAACGACACCCTCGCCCTCATCGGCTACGGCTCGCAGGGTCACGGTCAGGGTCTTAACCTCCGTGACAACGGCCTAAATGTCATCATCGGTGTCCGCAAGAACGGCCAATCGTGGAAGGATGCTGAGCAAGATGGCTGGGTTCCCGGCAAGAACCTCTTCGAGGTTGACGAGGCCATCTCCAAGGGTACCATCATCATGAACCTTCTCAGTGATGCCGCCCAGAGCGAGACATGGCCCGCTATCAAGCCCCAGCTAACCAAGGGCAAGGTACGCTAGCTAGTATGAGTCACCGTACCAGGACGCAAAAGTTGACAATTCACAGACCCTGTACTTCTCGCACGGTTTCTCCCCTGTCTTCAAGGACATCACCAAGGTCGATGTTCCCAAGGACATTGATGTCATTCTCGTTGCCCCCAAGGGCTCTGGCCGAACCGTCCGATCCCTCTTCCGTGAAGGCCGTGGTATCAACTCCTCCTACGCCGTCTACCAGGATGTTACTGGCAAGGCTGAGGAGAAGGCCCAGGCCCTCGGTGTTGCCGTCGGAAGTGGTTACCTCTACAAGACCACCTTCGAGAAGGAGGTGTACTCCGACTTGTACGGTGAGCGTGGTTGCTTGATGGGTGGTATCCACGGTATGTTCTTGGCTCAATACGAGGTTCTCCGAGAACGTGGCCACTCTCCCAGCGAGGCCTTCAACGAGACCGTTGAGGAGGCCACCCAGAGCTTGTACCCCCTGATTGGTGCCAACGGTATGGACTGGATGTACGAGGCCTGCTCTACCACCGCCCGACGAGGTGCCATTGACTGGACCCCGCGATTCAAGGACGCCTTGAAGCCCGTCTTCAACAAGCTATACGACTCCGTCAGAGATGGTACCGAGACCAAGCGATCGCTCGAATACAACAGCCAAAAGGACTACCGACAGAAGTTCGAGGCGGAGATGAATGAGATCCGCAACATGGAGATCTGGAAGGCCGGCAAGGCCGTGAGGTAAGAATCATTCATTCCGGGACTCGCCGAGTCCACTCTATCGCATTCGTCAACGCTAACCCATTTGACTTCACAGATCTCTCCGACCCGAGAACCAGAAATAAGTGCATTTGGCGTTGTTAAAAAAATTAAAACTATCGGGACGGTAAGCTAAACGGCGAAGGCATAGGCATATATTCCCCGGGGGATCAAAAAACCAAAGTCTTTGTACATGTATTCAGGATTCCCCAAAATTCATCTCACGAGGATCTTAGGGGGGTAATTGGTCCAAAAGTTGCTCTAGTTGAGTTTTCAAATGAAACTATTATGAATTCGTTCTAGGTGTGGTGTTTGGATGCCATGCCGTGCCATGCCATCTTGCGTGCTCCCTCCGTTATCGGACCGTGGATCGCAAATCGTAGATTTTTGACTGGCTTAATCTAGATCCAGTAGGTAGGGCTAGACTCAACTACCTGCTAAGTAAGTTCTTGTTATACTGTATGTACCCTTAGCATATAGCCCGGCCAGCGTGTGAGCTTCAGGGAAGGATTCGGATTCGGACCCTATTCATTTGTTCGCTTATTCGCAACCACCTATTCGCTCCAGCTTAGCTTAGCTCACCACAACTCACCTCACTCGCCTTCGTTAGAGCTAAGCCTCTTGATTACAATGGCGGACCCGTCGACCTCGCCGCCGCTAACACGTGCCTCGGTAGCAGCCGCGCGGGAGCTCATCAAGCCGTTCGTGCACCGGACGCCCGTGATCACGAGCACCTCGCTCTCGGCGCTCGCTTCGGAGCCGAACCCGAGCTCGGACGGGGAAGCTCGCAAGGCGAGGCCTCGGCTCCGGCTGTGGTTCAAGTGCGAGAACTTCCAGAAGGTCGGCGCGTTCAAGGCCCGGGGCGCGTTCCACGCTATCGAGAGGCTGAAGAAGGAGCCCGGTTGGCTGGCGGGTGGCGGCGCTGAGAGGGGCGTGGTTACGCATAGCTCTGGTTGGTCTTGATGTTTCTTTTCGTCGATGCTGTTTTTGTTTTATGCTCGATTTCTTTGGTTCGTGGTATCTGGCTTGGGGATGTGGGTGCTGCCTTGGTTGAGAGTACCGTCAGGGGCTGGTGAGGTGAGTGAGGAAGTTGGCGAGATATGATGGGGGCTTTGCATGAGAGAAGGGGGTGGGTAGGTAAGCCTCAACACGACAAAGCCTGGCTACCTAAGTTTGCCTCGTTTGACGATATCATGATGTTGAAATATGAGGAGTTATGTAATGGAGATTCAAGGATTTAGCCAGCCCCCTTATGAGGTTAAGATATTTCTTCAGTCACGGCCGAATCTACCAACCATGTTACAAATGAGCTTCACCTTTTACCTTCTTCCATGACTACTATTCTCTCATAACTCCCCTCCAGAACCTCCAACTAACAGACCAAGGCAACCACGCACAAGCGCTCTCCCTCGCAGCGCGCACCAATGGCATACCGGCGTACATCGTAATGCCGAGCATCTCGGCGCCGCCCAAGATCGCAGCCACGAAAGGGTACGGCGCCAATGTCATCTTCAGCGGCAGCACAAGCGTCGAGCGCGAGGCCGTCACCATGAAAGTCATTGAAGACACCGGCGCCCGTCTCGTGCCTCCTTACGACCACCCTGACATCGTCCTGGGACAGGGAACCCTGGGTCTCGAGTTTCAGGAGCAGGTTACTACTTTGATAGCCGAGGAGGGCGAGAAGCAGAAGAATGATGCGAGTGGGACCGTAGAAAAGAAAACGAACAAGAAGAAGGGGCTTGATGCCATCATAGCCCCTTGCGGGGGTGGCGGTAGTAAGTACCTACCTAGATTTCTAGAGTCGTTCCTTCCCTGTTATCAGGCTCATCACAGAAGGGCCTTGCCTGACTGGACCTTCTTGTTTGAAGTGTTTGCGTATCATATAATCCAATCCTGCGCTTGCAACAAATAACATCACCTGCACTGCCCGTTGGCCCAGCGGTCAAGGCGTCTGACTGTTATGAACAGAAAAATCAGAAGATCCCTGGTTCGATCCCAGGACGGGCAGATGGATTTTTTTTTCTTTTCAGCCTTGACCCCTCCCTCCCTATCCTGTTTATCACCCCTGTTCATTCGTGTAGTTATTTGGGTCCTTAATGTATGTGAAGGGGGGAGAAATTTCCTAACTTTTTACAGTGCTCTCCGGCGTAGCCCTCTCCTGCGAAGGCACAGGGATCCGGGTGTTCGGCTCGGAGCCGTCGTTCCAAGGCGCCGACGACGCCAAGCGGGGCTACGAGTCGGGCGTCCGCGTCGAGGCCGTATCCACGCTGACCATCGCCGACGGCCTGCGCACGCCCGTCGGCAAGGTGCCGTGGTCCATCATCTACGAGCGGCGCCTCGTGAGCGGGTTCTACAGCGTGAGCGAGGACGAGATTAGACGCGCCTTGCGACTAGCTTATGAGCGCCTCAAGGTCGTCATCGAGCCTAGTTCTGCTGTGCCTCTTGCTGTTGCGCTCTTCAACGAGGACTTTAGGGCCATGGTGGAGCGGGAGGGTGGCGAGGAAGGTTGGGATTTGGGCATCGTGTTTAGCGGAGGGAATATCAATTTGGATGCTCTGGGAAAGCTATTTTCTGAGGAGAGGAGCACTGAGGAAGCAGAGTAAGCGTAGACGACAAACAGTGTTGTTCAATTACAGTTCATGATCTACTGGGTAGGGAGGTATATATCCTATATATATATATATATATATATATAGTATGATTAATATATCGAGAATATGTACAAATTTTGACGACTACTGACATTGATTACCAATTATGCTCTGCTTCAACATAAGTGCATCTAATGCAATAGATCTAATCCAAGCAGACGTGTCTCATTATGTCGTGAGTAGGGGTTCCTACCCCCTTACTGATCAAATACCTAGGTATCTAGGCCAGATACCTGGCTAAGGTGACCGAGCTTATTTATTAAGAGCCTTGTCCATCTGCTCCCTCCATTTTCGACTGTTCTTCCTCAGGAGCCAGATCGCTATATTACCGCTCAGCCAAGAAACCAATCCGATCATGGTCATCAGCCACCCGATGCCCATCGCATCAATAAGGGGCTGCCCCACAATACCGCCAGTACAGCTAAAGATGTTCCTCACGAAGTTATTGAGGGCGACGCCGCTGCTGCTCCTTCGTGGCATGAATTCGGTGAGCATAGTAGTAGCGGCGCTAAAGACGAGCATGCTACCGACGCCGAAAAAAAAGTTGGCTACGGACGGTGCCGCCCAGTGGATACCATATTGTAGCGTCCATCCAGACCAAATTAGCGCCGCAGGGTACAGCGTAGCTGATATCCAAGCATTCTCACGCATACGGTCTTCGGGAAGATAAATGAGTTTCCCGTTGGCGTCATATCGCTGGGCCTTCTCTGCCGCACGCACCATAATCCGGTCAATCCATCGGCCGCCTAGCATCGATGCTGCAAAGTAGCCCAAGGAGCTGGGTAGGTACAACAGCCCTATTATGATCGCTGGGTAACCGTAGGGGGCTTGCGAGAAGGCCGACTGGAGCGAGATATTCAGGACGTACAAGGACCCGAATGTAATGGCTGCGTAGAATACCGTTATGGCTACGGCAGGGAAACGCAAGTACATGATGACCTCGAGTGGGTCGAGGAAACATCGCTTCAGCCACGCTGCGGCCTGCTTGGTGTACACTTGCACAGAGCGTGCGGTAGAGACGCGTGATAGATCATTCGCTTGCGAGGGTTCGACCGCGGTCGCGGGCCTACGTTTCGCAAGAGTCTCTGGTACACAGAATAGAACAAGGACGAACACTACGGCACCATACGCAGTGAGGAACCATACGGTACTCCTCCAGCCAAAGCCTTCCGTGAGGGCCCCGCCGATAATGGGGGCGAGTAGTGGACCCATTAGAGGGCCAAGATAGAAATATCCCATCGCGCGGCCACGCTCTCGGGGTTCCCAGATGTCGGCGATGGTTCCAGCTCCGACAGCTTGGACACTTGCTGCTGCTCCACCGGACAGGATACGGAAGACTATCAGCATGCCGATATTAACGCTGAGACCGCTTAATAGGGAGAAAACAACGTTTAGGAAGAACGACGAGAGATAAATATTACGTCGTCCTAGAGTCTCGGAGAAGGAACTCCACCACAGCGGGAATATTGACATTGCTAACATATACAGCGCTACTGTCAAGTTTACCACAGTTGGTGATGCATGGAGATCCTTGGACATGTCGGGAAGGGCAGCTAATGCGGTTTACGTGAGTCTTCTGTTACTCCTTTATGCAAAGGGTTATACTACGACATAATAGAGGGTATGTATTTGCTTACGATAAAAGATGGCCGATCCCATTGGCGCAGCGCATGCCGCTAATGCTATGAAGGCCGTTATTGTCCATTTTACTTTATTTGGATATTCGAAAGGCCTCTCCACCTCTGGGACAAGTGTTAACTGCGCAAGGAACCCTCGTCGTTTCAGCCTTGGCACTATGGACATCGGCTTGGACCGAGCAGATGAGGCTTGTGACCTGGTTCGTTCCATTGGCGTAGTAGCCGCAGCTTCTTCGTCGACTGGGATACCATTCGGAGTCAGGAGCTGCTCCGGGACAGTATCTATGGATCTATCCTCCCCATCTTGGCTTGTGGTGGTAATAGATGCGGTAGCATCGTCATCTTCCGGACGTCCTCCATTGAAGTCGATGACTTCTGACTTTTCATCCACTTTCTCTGGCTCAATAGCCATATCCAGGAGTTTCTGTGCTTGAAGGACTAGTGACGCTTGGCGATAAACCTGAGTTTGACCAACAGGGTGATAACCGATATCGGTGGAGACGTATAAATATTAGAGTACTTAGACGTGATATACTCGATAAATACTAAATCAAATAGGACCTCGTAGCTCTCTGGTGTAATAGGTTCTCGTAAGATGTGAAAAACTGCTAAGCTGGGAAACTTTCTTGCTAATAATCTGGAGGCTGGGGTATGGTGAATGAGGGAAACACCGTAAAAGCAGAAAAGATAAATTGCCAAAAATGTCAAGGGGGGCGACAAGGAAAGACGAGATTGGCGCCATCATCCATACCTAGTAGTGGACCTAGACGCTTACTGGAAATAAGCTTGTCAGGTATTGAAGCCGTTCGACGACTCACTGATTTAGCTTATGTGGAGAATGACTGCAGAGACGGGAGTTGCATCTTCGCGCGAAATGCCGAGAAACCCGAGATCGTGACCGCGGGTCAGTGATTCCATTCGGTTAGTGGTTCCGATACGCCAGACCTTAGCCGGCAGGAGAAGTGATCCTCCTCGCGTAAGTCAGAACGTTGCAGCATGGCGGTCCCCGGGACACCAATGCGATGGGCGTTCACATCGGGTAGGACTAACCTACCACATCCTACATCCATGTCCATGTCCATGGAATATATCGGTTAGGAAAGCCCTCAGCAGGATTTCATTGATGTTCAATCCTGAATGTCTGAATAACGTTGTCATACTCACACAACCGTGATTAACTGGATTAAATATCTTAATTGCGCTTCTCACGGCCGAAAGATCGTGGGACCCGGCCGTGTAGCTCCTGGGACGGAGCGGGATTCGGGACGAATTGGTCATCCAAAACCCGAAAGCTGCTCGAGTGGTGACAGCTATAGCCTCAGGACTGCGAAAAAGTCCATCTGGCGGTCAATGTACTTTAGAGGAACTTAGTCAACAAGCTATCAATCGGGTGGTCATGTCACATTGCGATGATTCAGGAACCTTCATCCGTTCGTCACTTGGATGGTTCTCACCAAATTGGCATGCTCTGATCGTTGCACTGGACGGGCCCGCGATTGATTGCGAAGGTTCATGAGCAACGATATCATCTTGACACAGCAGAAACGATATTAATCTTTTGATGTTGCACAGCGGCATGCAAATTTATTGCACGTGGAGAGGAATATTGAGTTGAGTGAACGTTGGTAACGGGCTTCATTGGAGGATGATTACAAAGAATGAAGGTCTGAATTGAAGGCTGGCCCTGGCGGTGATTTGAAGGCTGATGCCCCACTGTGGCTAGCTTCTAGCAAGATTAGTGGCTGCAGGGGTGCTGAGTATCGGAAGCGTGCCCCTCCAGCCCCTCCAGCCCCTCCAGCCCCTCCTACGAAATTCTATGCCGTATGGTGGGGGGTTGACCGTCAATAACCGCCATCACATTCCCAGACGCTATTCAGCTTCCGATATAGGCACATGCCACTTTACTCAGCGGCGTATCTTTAGAAGTAATGTCTCTGACAAACGCCTCCCCCTCGGAAGCTGCCAGAGCAGCAAAAGAGGCATCTCACGTCCTTGCAACGCTGTCTGAGTCTGATAGAAACGATGCTTTGACAGCCATTCACGCCGGTCTGACTGCGGCCAAGGATGACATCCTCGCAGCCAACGCCCGAGACCTCGAGGCCGCACGTCTAGCAGCAGAGAGTGGCCAATTGAGTCAGAGCTTGGTGTCTAGACTGGACCTCGGAAAGAAGGGGAAATGGGAGGACATGTTAAAAGGAATATTAGACGTTCGAGATCTTGAGGATCCTGGTGAGTCACTAACCAAGTTGAGCCAGATGAGCACTCAACTGATTACATCAAAGTTGGCAAGATTACTCTAAGGACCAAGCTTGATGATGGATTGGAGTTGACCAGAGTCACCTGCCCGATTGGCGTTCTTCTGATCATCTTCGAGGCACGGCCTGAGGTCATCGCCAACATCGCCTCCCTTGCAGTGAAGTCGGGCAACTCTGCTATCCTGAAAGGCGGCAAGGAGTCGACCGAATCTTTCATCGCCATCTCCAAGGTCATCTCTGCTGCTCTGGACAAGACGAAGGTTCCCAATGGCGCCATCCAGCTCGTCACCACGAGAGATGTCATACCGCAGCTTCTGGACCTGGATCAGTACATTGACCTTGTTATTCCTCGAGGCTCCAATGAGCTAGTTCGATATATCAAGTCGTCTACCAAGATCCCTGTTCTTGGCCATGCGGATGGACTATGCTCCATATTCCTTGAACAATCGGCAGACCCGAAGATGG